AAAAGTCAAGTTCTTTCGTGAACCTTAGCATACCAAAGCATGAACACCCAATAAAAGCTACAAAAGAACCTACACCATATGCTTTGTCCTCAATCCAATCCAAATTGCCTTGGGAGTGATGAGCCCGTAGATGATAGACCATCTTTTATTAGCTGGTTTTTTGGTGACTGGTGTGGGTTCAGAATTGGAACTTGTTTAACTTGAGCAGGTGCTTCCACAAAGGTATCACGATTGTTTTTCCTGAAATTATCTCAGGCTGAAGGTTAAAAAGAAAGGCTAAAACCCTTTGGAGGTTTTTGAATATCTCTACAAATCATTTAGAGAGGAGTTGATATGAACCAAAACATCTCAATCATGCAATATGAACTTCAAGGAAGATGTGAAAAAATGTTGTTCAAATTGCCCCAAGATAAACTCGAGTTGCAATTCATGTCATATTAAAGAAGAATCAAGCTTCATTTATTCTTGGATGGTTACAAATTTTGGGAGAATGATAGTCTAGAGTTATGGTATTTCATTGAAGTATTTTAAGCCTTATTATTTACTTTAAGGTTACATTTTGGTTATAAAATATGAAAGTTACAACTCTTAAAATGCCTGAAGGAAGGTCAAGAGTTTTTTTTTTGAGGCTATATAAAGTCATATATATTGTCTTTGTAATGTAGACTTGGAAAATGTAGTAAAAAGAGCATTTGTGCTTTCTTTTAGCCAAGGGTTAAGTTTCTTTGTAATGTTATGTAAATTAGGTTGCATACTTGGAATCATTCAAGCTTGACATGATCAATCTAACTTGTGGAATGATTCAAATCTCAAAGAAGTTTTCTTGCCTTGAGAAATTTGATCAATAAGGTAATCCGGACCTTACTTTTCCTAGGGTTGATCCCTTATCATTTTGAGGTTCTTGGATATTTTAGATCTAAAAGTCTTATTTTTCAATAAGATTGTTAGATTGAATTTTCCAGAGATGCAATCATCTGGAATGAAATCAACCTGACTTTGGGGATTTTAGCATTTGTGAACTCTTACAAGGGCTCTTAGATCCAACTAGCTAGGGTAACACATAAGGAGAAATATGTTTCCTAACAAGAATACTAGAGATTCTTTTCTTGTTTTTTTTTCCTAAAGAAAGGAAAGCCTTTCTTTGAATGTCATCAATGCCCCATTCCTTGGGATCCAAAACAAATGAAGAGGCTCTCGCACTAGAGCAATGGACCAATTAAGGAGATATGAAATACTTCAAACCTCACCTTCTTTCTAAATTTATCATCCCCATCACATCAACCACCATGCAATTGGGTCCTTGTGATTACGTGATAGATATCTAATTGTCTTATCTCATTTCATTCCGTTTCTTGGGACATTACCACAAAGTGAGTCCTTTCCATTGAGACAATTTCCCCCTTCCTTCCATGGTCTTGGTTGTGAGTGGTATGACAATCTCAAGTTCAGGTCCATATCAAGCTGAAAACAAATGAAAAGGGCTTAGGCATGTTGTGGCTGTAGAGGTGGGGCTGCTGCCGCCGCCTGATAAAGGCAGAGTTCCGCAGTTGAGTATTTGGGACCCTAAGAATGGGTTTTGCCCAAAGCATTGAATCGATTATCACCCATTGGAGAAGGTGAAAAAGTACAATATTTTCAGAGAATGGGTTCAAACACCATGGTAACCACCAATCAAGAATACTGTAACCCTATGAGTTTTATAACAACTAAACGTATTAAAGTTAGACAAATTGTCTAGGAGAACATTCAAGGTGCACTTAAATTGGCCCGAACGCTAATGATATAACAAAAAATAATCCTCCAACAGATCATTTATCATCAAAACCAGGTCTATTTTTTTAAAATGAAAAACCAAAAAATAGGCATCGACCCAAACCTCACTCTAAGAATTCTCCACGCATCTTAAAACTTACCTATTTCACTCGAGCTAAATATTCCACAAGACCCCAAAGGATCGCTTTATAATTGCCTATCCTTTCACGAAAGCATTATGATTGATAGGGATTGTCATGGCCTATGGGCAACAATTACTTCTACCTTTCACTCAATACTTCTCAAGTTAAACGCAAATTTTATTCTTTTATTAAAAAAAATATCATCCTTTTCCCTAAAATGCTCACTGAAAAAAGCCATTCATTTCATATTTGCATGAAGACGAAATATATAGTTGAAGAAAATAACATACTCAGAAATCGGGCCAGACCAATCTGGAACTTCGGCTTGAAAACCTTTGCCAATCCGAACACCAGTTGTATAAGGTTCTGTATCCGTTAACATTAATGCTATGGAGTTTGATTCACTCTTAGAAGATCCATTTCTACTTGAGATGTTTGCCAATTTCTTGGTAATTGCTTCGTTCAAAATTTTATGTTTCTTCTTCAAACATGAGTTGCAATACCACTCATCATTTGACACTTTCTTCATGCGATGATTGCCACATAAGACATGAAATGCATCTTCACAATGATCACAAATTAACATCTTCAAGGCTGAATCTGAAGAGCCACAAGTTTTGCACAATCGAAAACAATTGTTTTCGCTTCTTAAATCACTTTCTTGCTCAGAAGCATGAGCCATAGAAGATAGAAGCCCATTGCTTCTAAGAATAGAAATGCATAGATCTCTTCCTGATATATCCTCGACCATATCCTCCATGACCCGGATACTAGAAGACGAGCACTCACCTGTGTCGTCCACTTCAACCTTCAAGGAAGTTGAAACACGTTCCATGTTTGACTTTGATGAGGAGCAGCTATCATTTATGCTGTCAACCTCCAAACTTTTTTGCAGGTTATTGTTAAGTGTTTCATCAGAACCATGCCCCTCCCCAATGGTACAACCATTGATTGATTCTAGTTCTGAAACTTGAGCTTTTCCATAGCCAACAGGACGAGGAGGGATAACATTTCCAACAATTTCACTCTTGTGGATATGTTGAGAAGTCGTAGCCTGCTCTTTGTCCTCTATCAAATGACCATCACAACTAATCAAAGAACAACAATCCGTCCCATTAGCCAGCAACCTGGAATCAGAATTGCCACGCAGTTTCTTTCTCTTATATACTACATTAGATTTTGAACCTCCAGGCATCATACTAATAGTTGATATCTGGGAAAAAGCCCTTGGAAAATTCAAGCAGCGGAAGCCACCATCATTCTTCTTTTCCTCTATGATTTGTCCAGCTTTTCTGCAGCCATCATGAAAGAATTCATCACAATGGGGGCACATCTGTGAATTTCAAGAGCAGACACAACATTAGATATTACGAGAACTAAAACAAGATTTGCTAGAGCTTATCCGATCATTTATCTAGCATCAGTATATTCTTTCGGACAGACAAGAGACAGCATGCCTCTCTTAAGAAATTGAACTGTGGATCCCATTTAATTTATAATCCATCGACAGGGTCTCAGAGATTTCTTTTAGTTTTCTTAAAAAAAGGGAAAAATCGAATTAGAACTCAATTGCCGTCTCAATCTTCATTCTGATTGGAAGCCCTACAAACTAACATAGCCAATAACACGACGGTAAATCAAAGTCTCCCCTTGGAACTCTCCAAAATCTGTATATTCGGTCCATATTCTTCCCAACTCCAAAACATTTAACCCTAAATTTTCATACTCAACAAATAATAATCGTGCATCCAACTTCACAATATCGAGCAACTTGGAAAACAATTATTGTGCAAATTTATATCATCCTCTCATAGAACCTTCTAGTTTAAATCTTAACCCATGGGATTAAAAACTAGACTACCGCATGTAATTCCCAAGTTTCCGTCGACTACAAAAACCACACCAGAAAATCTATCTTAACAGGACATTTGATAACAATCTCCTATCAGTTGGTGAGTTATATACTCAAAACACTGCTAAAAATCGATTCAATAAGAAATGAAGTTTGAACAGAAGCAACCTGCAATTAAAGAGGGCAAGAAAAGTTGAACCACAACATGATGCTACGTTTTGTTCCCGATTGTTAAAGTAAAGAGGGAGAGATTAAACTAACCAAAAGAAGCGTGCAATCTGCCAGTTCCTCTGAATGATAAACCCAGTTGTGAAAATGCTTCTCCTCTGCTTCTTATCACTCAGAATCCGAGATTCATCTATTTCAAAATTATGCGTTTTTATTAACTTTTTTCTTTTATATTACATAAAAGACAACGTCCGTGTTTTTGCACTCAAATTGGTTCATAGAGGGCTCCCTGACGATCACTAGAATAGAAACTACTTTCATTTTTGCTTTGTGGATCAACCAATTTGCATATTAGACTAGTTTTGTTTGTAAAATACAAGCGTTACAAGGGAATGAAGAAAAAAGTACCAAAAATAATTGATGATTCCGAACAGGTGCATTCACAGCTATAATAATTTCTTGGGTTTTTGTACGGAGTGGGCAAAGCCTATGAAAATTGGAAGAAAAAAAAAATGATCCATTCAAACCAAGTCAATACTTAGTGGCTAATGTGGGCATAGCTTTAGAATGGCTAAAATGTTATATTCTTGACAAAGTTCGAATTTGGTAAACTTATGGAATCAAGCAAGAAATCGTGCATTTCTTTCATTAACAAATAAGGTATTGTCGGAAAGATGAACCACCATTAAATAAAAGTCTTCGGGATCGAATTGGAGAAGTTAATAAAATAGCTTTTGAATCCACTAAAGCTCCACAGTTATATTCCAAGTAATATGTAGTGATTTTCTTTGGTGACCATCGGCTCAAATCGTGAAATTAACCATTAGAACTTCTTAATCAAACAATTGAGTAAAATAGAAACAAACAACAAACGACTTTAGTTATACGTTGTTATTAGAGACTCATTTGGATAGAAATTTTGGTTTGAAACAAATTTATTTAGAAAAAAAAAATGTTATAATCACAGTTTGGTTGATCAATCAAATGTCTATGATTGAGACTCTTCAATTCCATTCCATTCCATTTCTCTGGAAGTGACCTGGTAGAAATTTTCTTGAACACTATAATCCAATGGATACCATTTAATCATCAAATGTGTTCTTAACATTGAAGCAATTCCAACCTCGAGCACATTGTTCAAATCGAAACCATTTGTAAACTCTAGACAAAACTGACACTTGTCTTGCTTTCCATTCAATATAACAGCTAATCAAAGGACATGCATAAGAATGTAAAATGTAAACAAACCTTCCAGATGGAAGAAAATGAATCACAGTCCTCAAAGGGCACCACCGCAAGTTTCCAAGCCATAGAACGCACACAATGGACAAGCTTTTGCAGATGGCCTGTTGCTTTGCCCCTTGGCCAAAAAGGCCAAACTTCCATCAACTTTCCTCTCCGATGGCTGCCTTCATCCTATTGGTTTTTCATTTGAGCTTTGGAAGCTAATTCAAGTTCTAAGGTCGACTTGTGACAAGTCCTGTCAATTTCCCAACCATATTTGACTAAACTCAGAGTGCATCAACCAACCAAGCAGCATTGGACAACAATACAATAGTTCCTCCACTAACTTTATGCTATCATACTATAGTGGAAGTCTCTCCTCTAGCCTTTTCTTTCTCTTCAACCTTCTCCTGTGGCTCACACATCAACATATCTGCTTTTCAATCACTAAACTCCCCCCCTACCAATTTGACTTTCTGGCAAAATATATTTGCAGACATTTGATTAGAGGAATAGCTTTTGGTTAACCCTGAAAATTAAGTCATAGTAGATGAAGAGTTTAATTACCATCCGAGGGAACATTTTAATCAATATAAATAATAGTAGTTCAGATAGCAGTTCAAATGTTAGAGGCAGAAATATCCTAATCCCAAAATGTATGGCAATGAGGTTGAGGTCGGCATTCGACATCTTCAAGCTCACAAACTGATATTGTTTGAGACAAGAGCTAAAAATGGATTCATCCATACACCTTTTCCGCTTTCAAAAGCTTTTATCATTGATAATGTCGATTTGGACTAGACGGTATCAAAACCAAAAGTAACCTCATTTCAGCCTTTCATTGACCTGCCCGATTGTGAACAAGGGGCCTGTGAGGATTTGGAGCTGCAACGGAACACCACCACTATCAATCAAACCATATACATTTTTCAAAGTCTATCAATCCAAAAGATAAAAAAAATATCTGACAAATAGGTTATACCAACAAAATAAGCGGGTCTATTTGGAAGATAAAATGTTCAATACACGAGCAAATCGTGCAAATCAGATGATCAAAATAATTTCACGTACCATTAGGATTTCCCTGTTCATAAAAACTTCGAAAAAGAGCAACTGCTTCTGATGCCATTATTCCTGCTGTGCATTTAAATCCCCTTCCTTGCTGATTACCACTATCACAACAAATTAAAGAATCACTATCCGAAATGAATCCCCTTCCTTGCCCATTACCAATAGTTTGATTTGATATCTTGAATGAGAATTTAAATGCCTAGGAAATGCTTCAACGAAAGTTGCTCTTTTCAAGCTCATGCCTTCAGTTTGTCCTTTTTGACATGCAGATGGGGGGTATCTTTTTCATATCTTTTTTGGTTGCACTTATTCTTTGAATTGATGGTTCAAGTATATTGTTCTTTTCAATATGCACTGGGTTTTCTCAAATGTTTTAAAGGACAATATTCTTCAGCTTCTCAGTGGTCCTCTTTTGGCTCAAGGCCAAACAATCTATGGGTAAATGCGGTTAAATCTCTATTTTCAGAATTATGGTTGGAAAGAATCAGAGAATTTTTTAATACAATATTCTTCCTTGCCTCTACTTTTTTTTTTAAAAAAAAACAAGAGATTAATGCTTAAAAGACACAAACTCCATAAAAGAGTGAAAATGAAAAAAAAAAAAAAACAAAAGAAAAGAGAAACCAACGATTATAAAGGAGTGATAAAAGCATGTCAATTAAAACAAATATCTTGCAATGAGAAACCAGCATAAGTCATGGAAAGAGAGCACACTTTTTTTCAAAAGCACGAAGGGAAAAACAAACACAATTCTCCCATAGCAGGTGTATTTTTATCCCACTTTTTCTTGAAGAAGCAACCCGGTTGGGAGGAAGCATATGAATTGATAGCTTGAAAGTATGTAAAAGACTTAAAACTACATAAAAATATAAGTTATTTTGGAAAAGTTAACGACTGCAGCAATTCGTTCAAGAAACCAAAGAGTTAATCTCATAAAACTAAAATCTGATAATGGTAGATAAAGAAATAAACCTTGTATGTGCCTCGCGGCTACCTAAGTGAAGTGACAATATAGATCCACATCCACCAAATTTATCATTTGCACAACCATAATATACTTCATTTATACCTGAAACAGGAAATCACATAGCAATGAATCAACCATATTCAGTCGTTAAATGAAAGGTAAACTATGACTATAACTCTTTGGACAAACAGTTGCCTCTGCATGGAGAAACAAGAAAAGGAAAACATACCAAGTATTGATAGGGCAGAAGCACACATAATGCAAGGTTCACAGGTAACATAAAGTTTGCACTTCGAGCATTTTTCAGCAACTTCTGAGGTTGAAAGTCCATCCCTCTGCCATGCCTCAATCAGAATGTCAGTAGCTTCCATCTCTGCGTGTCTGGTAGCCTATGAGAATATGAAAAATAATGTAGATAATAAGCAAAACAAGGCAAAAGAACTTGTCACTACAGTCTTAAGGAAAGTTGGGAATGGATATTCCCGTGTACTCTTCCTTGCAAGCTTAGTCGTACCTTGCTGATCCCACACTATAACTGCTTGAAAAATTAGCATAGAAAACTTGTAGGAACTTTAATATCTTAGGTAAGCAATCAAATTTTGAGGCCTAAAAAAGATTCATTTGGTTGAGTTATAACAGCATAGTTCTCTTTTGAGAATCCAAAATCCTTTAAACTTGAGAACTGTTGCAATCAGCCTCTAAGCTTTGGCAAGGAACCACCTCGGTAAAAGTCCGTCAGAGCAACTTGGATATTTGAAACATGGCCCTGAATTTGAGACTCCCAAATCCTCTAAGTTGAAAACAATGAAACTATCTTCGCTACAAGTCCTTTCAAAATTGTCCCAAGAAACATATTTACTATTTTTTTTTTTTATGAAAAACAAAACCATCAAATTAATGCGAAAAAGGAGAGCAGTATAAAGGCCTTGAGGATAGGGATCCCTGAAGCTAGTGAGGAGGGCAAAAACAAAAGGACCCAATTTAAGTTGACGCCAGGGTAGCACAAAAAGATTTCTGTAGGCTGGTATCAGAGGCCGCCCACTATACATTGTCAGAGAAGTTTTCGAAAGAAGATGACTTAACTAAGAAAAATATGGAGTTTCTCTCTCCAGAGCGTTAACTAAGAAATAGGCATTGGATCAAGCTCAGTATGTTAGTTGGATCATATATTAAGTTAAGAGCGTTAATCAAACATGTAGTCCCAAAAATTTTGAGGATTTTTTTGCCTGCCAAAGACATGCCAAGGTAGCTAAATGACCATGAAAATTACTGCAATGGAAGGTAGATGCAATCTTTGCCAACTTTCTATATGCCATATTAATGTCTACTCAAAACTTTTAAAAGGTTGATTGTTAGACCAGAAGCATATGAAACATACCGCTAATTTGTAGAAAGTCATCTGCTAAAAGAACGAGTTAAATTCTTTTCTACAAACCTTGAAGCACCCAAACAAACCATCCTCTCTAACTTTGTTCATTATTCTACTCATCATACCTATTATCAAGATGAAGAGAAGCAGAGAGATTGCTCTCCTTGTCTCAGGCTCCAACTAGCTCTTGCATTCCCTCACAACCTTCTATAGATGTACAGAGTGACTTTACATTGATATGGATGGTGTCTTAACCCTGTTCCTTTATACACAAATTTTGTTTCCAATTAAAAAAAGAAATATTCCTATCCTTGGAGGTTCATTGAGATAGAATCATCAAACGCTTTACTAGCTAAGTAACAGCTGAACAAGAATAATATGATACAGGAATAGGACAAAAAAAAGCAGCTACCATGAAGTGCAATTGATCACTAAATAACATTGGAATTTTTTTTTTTTTTTTTTTTTTTGAGGGGGGGGGCAGACAGAGAGGGGAACAAGAACCATGTTGGATTACATTTCGAGTCTCAGTAGTGCGGTTTCTTCCAGTGGCAATAACCATCCCATCTTCAACAATCACACAGCTGAACAATAACAATGCTTTCATAAATAACTATAATGAGTATTGGGCACAACTACACAAAAGGAACAAACAAAAAATATTGAGGTGGAATGTTAATACATCCTCTTGAAAATGCACCAAAACAGTGAACTCATTTGCAACACAACAGATCTTACCGGCAAGAATGGTAAAAATAGACAATAGCTTACCCTACAGGCACTTCTAGGCTGTTCAGGGCAAGCTTGGCCTGCAATCACATGGCAAAATATTGAGCTACTATAGAGATAAATAAATCTGACACCACTGAGACAAACATTTAAATGTGATGAGAATCTAATGGATTAGAAGAAGCTTTCAGTTGAAACAAAACAAGCAACCCCGTGCAAAGGCAGATGGCCCTGCAGAACTCTCTTTTCTTCAGCCTCCATTTTGCTCAACCCCCACGTATTGTATTTTCATTCCCATGATCCCATACTACGCGAAAATTGATGATTTACAAAGCAATAATTTAATGACGTCAGTATGGGAGAGACGCATCAACAAAATAATTTCTTCATAGAAAATGTCGACACAGGGATCAAAATACTACGTAAAGTGTTTCAATTAACTACGGTCAGACATCCATTAGAAATGCAAACTCCAATAAGCCTGCAGCTATTCACAAGTATTTCTAATAAAATCAGAGCAGAAAATGAAGACGCTCGACAGACAAAAGCATAACATGTAAACTAATGCTCGTGGAAATTTGAAAAAGCAATAAAGATCTTCTTGCATACGTCTCATGCCCTGCATAACTTCCTGGAAATTAATTGAACTGCATATATTTTGAGTGCGGGTATGTAACTTTGACAATTATGATGCTAAAATTCACCATCTTCGTACAGGAGGGATATTCACCTGCTGAATTGCAAGTTCCATAAACCGAAGAGTGTCGGAGGAGCAATCCTCCCTCGAAGAATCCATCTTAATCCAGGACGCGGTGCAATAGGTTGAGGTCATATAAAATGAAATTAGCAGAAGATTACCAGTTAACAAATGCAGAGAGAGGGATTAAGAACTTGTCGCCGATACCCGCTTATCGAAGAGTGAGAGAGATTAGGGCAATTGTGCAGATTTTCGTACAGAATGGCGCGAAGAACTGAAGCCGCGGGAGAAGGACAAAGGGTATAGTTGTAATTAACATAACTAGTAATATAATTTCTTTTCCTTTTGGAAAGCATAAAATAAATAAATAAATAAAGCCGATAATATTTTTATTAATTTAGACTAATTATTGATTAATTTAAACTAATAAGCTTAATCCTCAAGGGAAGGAACTGGGTCCCATGAGGATTGGGAATATGAGATTGCGTTGCGAGCCATTTATCTGCAGAATCTCTCCCTGTAAGCCACCCATTGCCATTAGAACCTTCAAGCTAAATTGGACCGTCCCCACAAGCAGCATCAGCGTTTAAAATGCCCACTTTGAATTTGTTCACGAATCTCCCGGTTGATGCCGTGGTGGCTGCTGACATCCTCAAGGACGCATCGAAAGCCGTTTCTAAAATTCTCGGGAAATCTGAATCTGTTAAGTTCTTTGTCCCTTCTTCATTGCTCCTCAACTCTTATCACTTGTTAAACAACAGTCCCTTGCTGTGTTGGGTGTGTTTTATGTAGAGTTATGGAAATGCCCACATGGTGTTCGACAAAATTACTCTGAGAATGTGGAGGTCATTTCAAGTTCTTGAGTTGAGATTTTCCAGTACTAGATTGATAGCTGACTTGATTTTTTTATTTTTCTTTGTTGGTCGAAGAAGTTCTTTTATCGTGATAATTATTCATATACACACGATGGAATCATGTTTATCCTAATGCAAGGGCATGAACTTACATTTTTCTGCTTGAATGGTTCAGTATGTGATGATCTTGCTGAATGGTAGCACGCCAATCGTATTTGCTGGCACGGAAGAGCCAACCGCGTATGGAGAATTGATATCTATCGGAGGCCTTGGACCAAGCGTGAATGGAAAACTTAGCTCAACAATTGCTGAGATTATTCAGACTAAGCTCCATATTGATAGCTCCCGTTTCTATATCAAATTTTCCGATGTTCAGGCAAGTTTTTCTCGTCCTTCCAAATTGTTGAGCACATATATAAAAGGCTGGATAGGTGGGTTTAGTGGATGTCATGGTATCAAGCTCACATGTTGAGCTCCATAATTTAGTTAATATTGGTTATTCAAGCTCACATGCGAGGGAAGTGTTTATAATAAAATATAGTGAGATCCCACACCGATTAGAGAGGGGAACTAAGCATTCTTTATAAAGGCGTGGAAACCTCTGCCTAGCATACGCATTTTAAAACTTTGAGGGAAAGCCCAAAAGGAAAAGCTCAAAGATGACAATATCTACTAGTGGTGGGCTTGGGCCGTTACACTTAACCTCTAACTTTAGTTAGTTTAGTGATGGTTTAACTAGCTTATCAAAGGAGAGGATACAATGTTCAAACCCCTCACAACCCTTTTGGTTTAGTATTAATGTAACTTTAGTAATAGTAAAGCTTTTGACCTGATTTGTTTACGCCTTTTCTGGAATATATAATTCTGAATGGAGGTAGACTTAGTGTAAGATGGTTTGCATATAATTCAATGGCAATATTGTTTTATTCTAGTGGCTGTGCAATTTGATGCTGACTTCATGGATCTCCTGCATCTCTTCCTTGCTTCTCCGGATTGCAATTAAACTTGTTTGGTTTTACAAATTTTGAACTTAAATCTTCCTATTTAATATTTTACCCCGCGTAACACTGTTATTTAAGGTGTTAGTGGTAACTGATATGGACAAATGTGAACCCAGAGGCCTGAAAAAGTTGGCCATTCGAGTATTTGGATATTTTCTGAACTTGTTCATGATGTGTAACTCTGTACAATTTTTTGGTTTAGTGGTCGATACTTCTTCGTATAGGTACTCCCCTTGGCTGGATTTTGGTAAAGAATTGACTTCTAAATTACAAACTTGCATATAATTTTAAACACTCACCTTTCATTTTGAGTCCTAGAGATGATTTCTACATTAGTTGAGCGGCAAATGCACCTATTGATTTGTCTTTTGTCACAATATGACCCATTCCTTGTTAAATCACCATTAAAACCCCAACGTAAAGGATTTTGGTTAGCTCGGCAAGACATCAGACATCAGCGTAGAGAAGGGTGTTTGAATTATTGAGGATTATTGAAAGGAGTAGTCACGTTGGCTAATTAAGAGGAAGATCATGGGGTTATAATAAGTAAGGAACATTATCCTAATTAAGAGGAAGATCATGGGGTTATAATAAGTAAGGAACATTATCCTAATTAAGAGGAAGATCATGGGGTTATAATAAGTAAGAAACATTATCTTCATTGGTATGAAAAACCGAAAGCAAAGCCATGAGAGCTTATGCTCAAAGTGGACAATATCATACCATTGTGGAGAGTCGTGTTTCTAACATGAATTCATACTCATCATCTATTCTCCGATCAATATTGTCAAGTACTAGTTGAGTTTTTGCATTAATCACTGAACTCACGAGAGAAAGGGGAGTATTAAGAATACATATAAAAGATTAATTATGTCTTAACATTGTGAATATCTTAGCCCCCACCCCCACCCCGTCTGTGCAGTTATATAAGTTAACAAATTAGCCATACTTTGTTGGATTTGTATGACATTTACTGTGATATGTTTGTAATATAACATTTTTCTGCACCGATAACCTGTTGACTAACACATCCATCCTGATCATTTCCAGGCCTCGTTCTTCGGATACAACGGCTCAACATTTTGATCAGTATTTTGTAGAATGAACGCTAGAATGCTGCCAGATATGAAAAGTATGGAGTAGTTAGATTATATGAAAGGTTGGCTGGAACAATATTCTTTGCCCTTTCTAAACTATTTGATCTGGATGTAACATACATGAATTTATTGAAAATAATCATTTGGCATCTCAATTAGTCTTGGTGTTTCGTATTTATTACTGTGAATTGAGTTATTTGTTGTCCTCTGCTGTGTATAGTGTTTGACGACATGTTTGATAGTGATTCTGGAATAGCTCGCGTTACTTTTATCGTGTCTAACATATTTGAAATAGTCTTACATGGCAGGTTACTTCCATACTTGCTTAAATACAATTGTCAATTGTATGTTGTATCAGTGGATGGTTCTCTTGGGTCTTGGTTAATAAATTAAAATAAACTTCATTCAACCTTAGAAGAAACCAAATAAATGTTTTTTAGTGGTAAAAATATAAATACAACGAGCAACGTTAAGCCTTCATCGCTACAAATTTGATAATGCACGTATTTTTTTTTTCTTTTCGTCCCCACAAGTTGTCTTCAAAATTATAACTCAAATTATTTATGTGTTTTTCTTTTCGTGTATTAAATCCAAACAACGCATGAACTCACGCCCAACTATTAACATACAATCTTATTCAAACATTTAAGTCACAAGGTCCCTTGATTATTCAATTACTCTTGTTTGTTTCCTTACTATAACTTATAGACATGATTTGGAGTGGATAATTTTCAAGATTGGAGGATGAAATAAGGAGAATAGAGAATATTAAAAAGCGAGAAAAAAAAAAGGAATATAACTAAAGAACGGTTTTCATTCATATATTTTTTAAATTGGCCACTAATTATTTTCTACCAATCATCGTAAGAATACCTTTTAATTTGAGAATATTAATGAGTTTTTTTTTTTTTTTAATTTAAAATTTAGAGTTTTATTTTTTTATTTATTTTTAGTTAAAAAAAAAAAGAGTATAAAAGTATTTTCTATTATTTGGTTTAAAAAAAAATGATTAGACCAAAAAAGAAAAGTTCGTGGACCAGCGAGCCATTCTCCAGAAGAAAACGCGCCGCTTACCGCCATAGCCTCCATTACCCCACTTCCAAAAGCTCCGCATCTCTCCCTCTTTCTGTGCCCTCTCATGGACTCACTGTTAGCCAACTACGCCTCCTCCTCCGACGAAGAACAGGAGCAGCCACCGCCGCCGACGCAGCCACCGTTGTCTGTTAGCGCGTCTCTGAGATCCGAGTTACCGAAATCCTCCTCCTCCGAAACCTCTACTTTCTTATCGTCTCTTCCCCCGTCCAAATCTTCCTCGCTATTCCAATCCCTCCCCCAGCCCAAACAGTCCTCCAAGCCTTCTCTGCCCACTGGGTTCTTCGAAAATGATAAGAACGAAGACGTAGAGGAAGGAGATTCGCTCTCGGGGTCTAAATTAGGTACTGCTTCAATTAAACCTTCATCTATCTTCTCTTCCCTTCCACGGCCTAAGGGGAATCCTACGAGATCGTCGTCTTCCTCGTCTAGTTCTCGATTTAACGGTGATGGTGATGAGAATCTCACGGAATCGGCATCTATGTTTTCTTCCCTTCCGCAACCTAATTCGCAGAATTTGCAGAAATCTATATCAAATCCCTCGTCCACGGAGTCCCAGCCAAAAAGGGTCGTTCTATTTAAGCCACCCGTTAATTCTTCTTTGCTGAAATTGGGGGAAGATGACGATGATGATGACGATGAAGAAGAAGAGGAAATAAGGCGCCGAAAGGCATCCCAATCCTCGTTCCAAACCCCTACTGTAACGTCGTTCTTGTCAAGCATTCCAGCGCCGAAGCATTCGGCAACTTTGGGAGTTTTTTCGAGCTCAGGCTCAGGGCGAAGGTCGATTCTTGAAACAGATGTTCCGGTTGCGTCTTCTGATGGTTCTAAAGTAGTGAATAATTCAGGTAGCACTCAAAAAGTTGATCACGATGCCGAAAAGTACGACAGTTACGTAAATTACAGTTCAGGTGTTGAGCAGAATGTTGCCAGTCATACGGAGAACTATGATAATGCAGCAGTTTACAACGTTGGTACAGAACAGAATGCTTGGAATTATGCAAGCTATGATAGTTATGGGAGTTACCACTATAGTGTTGATCAAAATGTGGTTGGTGAAGCACCGTCTGTCTCTAGTGGAATTAACGCTGGTGACTATGGAAGTTATGAGAATTATGGTAACTATGGTGATCACATACAATATGGGAGTGACCCTGCTGGTCAACCCGCAGTGATGGACGCTGAAAATGTTGTTAGAATACATGAAAAGAGAAGAAGAAATGAAATTCCGACAGAAATACTCGAGGTGAAGCAGGATGAATTGATGAAGAATCGGCCAAGGCAGGACCAGGTCAAGTTAACTGGCATTGCTTTTGGTCCTTCTTACCAGGTAAGCCACTTATAGCTTCATGGCAAGATAACATAGACATACAATGAGGTTTTCTGGTGTATATAATCACATTATGGTTTATCTCTGTCTATTTTTGGATATTATATCAGCAAGTCTACGTCCTTGGTTTATTGGTCATTTTAGTATAGAAGATAAAAAGAAGTGCCATCTAATGAAAGATTAGAGTCGATGTGACCGCATTGGATATTTATGTTATATGGCGCTAAGATGGTAAAATCACTCTTTGATCGATCTTCTATTTGGGTTTTTATGCATAATTATCTTGGGCTGGATTCAATTGTCATGGTTGGTGGTCACCTCTCTTGAGTATTAAAATTCTACTACTAGATGTTGTGGTCAGGTAGTTGTATTGTGAGATTAGTTTGAGGTACATGCAAGTTGGATACTCATAGTATAAAAGAAACATTCTTATGATAATTGAGATTTACTAATGAAATCCTCCCATAAAGTTAACCGGAGTTATTCTTGTTCTCCAATTGGCATGCATGATTGAAATAGAATAGTTACTGTAAGGTAAATACCGAAAGAAGAATTAAGTTATTCTCGTGGCAACTCATATTAGACAATATCAACATTCAAGATAAACTCAAAAGTCAACTCCCCTCATATTAGACTCTTTATGACTGTCACTTATGGAGCTTTATTCTTTCCGCATCTTGTTGGGCAACTTATTGCCTAATGATATCAAGAGTCTCCTTACACATATTTTGGTGCTCACCTTCAAAGGGAATGCAAAGGTTAATCTCGGTTACTTTATCAAGAGATTTTCCTTTTTAGTCTCTTTGACCTGAGAGGAACATAAAGATATTTATGGGAAAAAAATGTCATTTCAGGCACTTTGGGAGTAAGGGTAGTTACTAAATAATTTATTAAAGCTATGACACTACCATCAAGTACACTTAATTAAGCTACGAAAAATTGTTCTAGAGAACACACACTTGTAGACGGCGATTGCTTTGAAATTGAGAGAACTTAGCAAATTGTTGCCATCTTGCCATATTTAGGGAGGGAGAATATATTTGAGGGTGGGGAGGATAAGAAAGTTGTGGAAGCTAGGAGTCTCTATTCACCATCTTTATACTAGTTGGTATTCTATTTGAATTGATTCATAGCTCCTTTGATGTTTGATCAAGTGTATTGTTGGAAACTTATTGGTTGTGGACATTTTAGGCATAATGGTTTAGAGTTGTTGAGCTTAATATTGAGAAGGATAATGGGAACTCCTTTGAGGTGTCTCTACCAAAAAGCATTAAGCAGGAGAAGAACTCTTATTGTCCAATTTCCTTATATTCTGCTCCATCCACAAACTCCACAAAAGTATTGTAGCAGTGAATTTTCTTTTCATCTTCCACTCCCATACTAATCCAACAACCACATGTCCACTTGAAAGAGGGCTTGAGAGGTTTTGGAGTGGCAGTTGTGCTTTTAGTAGGTACAGCCTGTCTCTGTGGGCTTCAGTGGCTAAGTGGTTTTGTAATTACCGGTTAGGTTTTATTTTGCTTGATTGGAAGCCCTTTCTTTAGTTTGCCTCCTACTTTTATGGGTTTTTTCTTTTTTCCAATGTCCTTGTATTCTTGAATTTCTTGTAACAGTTCTAAAAAAAAAAAAGAAAAAAACTCCTTTGAGGAACTATCAAAAGAGTTTTTTTTTTTTTTTTTTTTTTTTGGTGTAGTCAGTTCAATCATTCTTTTTGACTTTTATGGATTCAAAGAAACATTAGAACCTAACAGATTTGGAGGTGGTTGAATGTTTGGCTCTCTCCGAAGCCCTTGTTGGCTTTGGCCCTGATGACAGGCTAGCTGTGAAGTTCAGAAGCTTGAAAACAATGGAGTTTTTATGGTCAGGCTGTTGATACCAAATCATCATCTGCTCCTCTTTACATCGAAACAATATGGAATTCTGAGCCCATAAGAAAGTTCAAGCTTTCTGGTGGATTTTTGCATATGAAAGGTTAAAACACCTTGGCAGAATTAGTTGAACTATGCCGTCTATCTCAATCTCCCTCAACTGGTGCGTTCTATGTAAGAAAAATGAGGAGTCCTTGATGCCCCTTTTCTTTACTTCCCTGTATGCTGCTGTTCGTTGGGGTGATCTCTTGAGTACTTTTGGGATCAGTTGGTGCTTCCCTAGTAAAGCATCTCAGGCATTCTTTCTGTTGCTTTGCAGGACATACTTTAAAAATCAAGCCAAACCCTTTTAGTCCAATGGAGTAATGGCCCTTCTATCCAGACTATGGTTTGGGAGAACCTTGTTCGCAAATAGGGCTTCAGTGGGGGAGAGGGCAACACTAGGAGTTCTCTGAATTTTGTCTTGTGTTGATGCTCTTCATTGAGTTTCCCAAATAAAACTTTGACCTTTTTTGGGTATTTGACTTTTCTTATCTCTTTGCGAATGTGGGTTAAAAAAACCATATCAACCGAATGATGGCTAAATATGAGCGTTGTGTTAGGCATATTGATGTCCTATATTTCGTATTTTTGTTTCTTCCTTTTTACGTTTCATTTCTCTAAATGAAAGCTTGAAGTTTTTTTTAACTTCTCCATTGCATTCATATGTTTGTTTGCCTGTTCTGTTCTGTAGCCTGCCTCAACGACAAAAGGGAAGCCCTCAAAGTTGCACAAGAGAAAGCACCAAATTACATCGTTGTTTTATGATATGAAGCAGAAAGAGACGGAATTAGCGGAGAGGCGTGCAAGAGGTCTTCTTACA